CGTCCCCGCCGACGCTACCCTGCGCTGTCCCGATCTGTCCCTAGACCTCCCACGTCCTTCCCCGTTCCCGCCGACGCTACCCTACGCTGTCCAGATCTGTCTCGGCCCCTCTGACATCCTTTTCCGTCCCCTCCCTGCGCTGTCCCGATCTGTCTGTTCGATGAGGATATTTCTGACGGTAAATTATTTTCATATTTTGCTGTGTCAATTAGGAAAAGGTCTGCCAGGTGATATGGTTTGTGTTTTTGAGTGCTGATTATTTTTAATACAATTTTTTCTGTCTTTGTCTTTCATAACATTCAGAAACTGTAGAAACCGACGAAGTAGCAATATTGAATGAGAAGCATGATGGCGATACAGGTAAATTTTTCCAATATTGCATTGGTAGTCATGGTTTTTGTCATATTTAGAAAATCCAGTTAACATAATGCCCTTTTCATTCTGTAGAGTGGGTGACTGAGATTCTAGTTAAAAGTGAGCCAGTAGAAGCAACTGAATGTTGGTCACCCAACAGCAGAGGTATGATGAATTAAGTACAATAACAGATTCATATAAGTTATTTTAGAGCTTTACAACAAATGTGTGCCTTTTATTTTCAGATGACTTTTTGCTCACCACTACCGTCACTTTAAGTGATGATGAATCACCAAACACCAGTTGCAATCCTGCTAGAAATCAATTATCCCCTGTTCCTTATGAGCCTCAAGAAGCTGATGAATCACTTGCTCTGTCCTTATCTCCTGGAAATGATTCGTGGCTTAATTTTGTGTCAGGGGATACAAGCTTCTTAGTGGAAAATGACGCTGGTGACAAAGACACTGACACTGGTAAATTTTGTGCATGTCATGTTTGGTACGCTGATAATAATGTTGCAGTACTTTTTACATTAATTATGTGATTATTTCCCGAGTGGCAGTCATCTGCTGTTGTAGTCAAAGAAGAACCAATAATGGGCTCACCTGACAGAGGTATGCATAAATATAAGTAGAGTTTTTGATTTAAAGATGTAATTAAGAAGGGGCTATAACAACTGGTTGCTTTCTTTTTCAGATGCCTCCATGACAACCATTACATTGGACAGTGATAGTTGTTGTATTCATGAGTTGGTAGCCGCCAGCCATTCCCTGCAACCAACGCCACCTAGCGGCAACAGCAGTTTTCCTCGTATCTGCCGATACCCCACGCTAGTCAGTCATCGTGGAACTCTCAGACAGTCTGTAGCTCAACCAGTTATCTGTACCATTAGCTAATAAATAAGTTATATCAAACCAATCTACCTTCTCTGACAATACGACCCTACTACAATAGTGATGAATCACATACATGGATTATGCGTTGTTCTTCTGTTGATAATCTTGATATCAATCGCCTTGTGTTGCAACATCATCATCAGCAGGTTCCAGTCAATAACTCAACTCCATTAATGCAAACCAAAGAAGGATGTCGTGGTCGTATTAATTTTAGTTCTATATCAGGAATCGGAAATGGTAATTTTCTGTCCATATTAATAGGCTCTGTTCATTCTTATTCGTTCCAACAGATTAAATTTGCCTTTACAGAATCTTCTGCACAAGTCAGAAGTGCTTCTGCTGCTGAACGTCCGCCTTCCAGGAAGAAGTCCACAAGTGGGATTACTTCCTCTTCTAGCATAACCAGTGAGTCGTATGTCTTTCACATAAGTGTTTTCCTATTTTGTTTTCATTCGCATGTGGTTTATTACCGTTTTTTTTTTTTATCTTGAAGGTCCCCAGAACAGTCCGAAGAGGAAGCAAAGTCTGCTGCTAACCACATTGCAGTGGCCAGCCGCTGGCTACAAAGTCACGGCCACCTTATGCGTACGCTGCCCGCCGGATTCAAAAGACCACCTATTTAAGCTCAAGTTAGTGTGGACAGGGGTGGTTTCTGACGGAACGAAAGGTAGTTTTAGGGTTCCCTGGTCCAGCCCTGTCGATTCGACTACTTTTCTGTCAAAATCCGGACCCATCTATTTTCGCTAAAAAAAAACACAAAGGCCTTTGAAATTTTGCCAAAAATAAAAAACAAGGGAAACTATGAACACAAAATAAATTTTGTGCTAAGTAGGAAACTCGTTCTTTAACCAAACCAGGGTAGTTCTTCAAAATCAGTTCGTGCTTTTATCTCAGAGTAAT